CTGTGGGTCCTGCACACCCTCCACAAAATAGACATGACCCACGGGGGACCGGTAGGTCCACTTTCCCTCCACAAAACAGCCACGGCCCACACGACCCAGTAGGTCCCACACACCCTCACAAAATGAGCCACTGACCACGGGGACCAGTAGTGCCCTCACACACCCTCCACCGACAGCCCCGACCCACGGGGACGCAGCCAGGTCCGCACCCTCACAAAACAGCCACGGCCCATGGGGACCTGTGGGTCTGCACACCCTCACAAAATAGACGCAGCCCACGGGGGACATTGGGTCGCACACCCTCCTGACAGCCCACACGGGCCCACGGGGACCGTGGGTCCACACACCCTCCACAAAACAGCCACGGCCCACCCGAGGACCTCTGGAGTCCGCACACCCTCCACAAAACAGCCCACGGCCCACGGGGGCCTGTGGAGTCGCACACCCTCCACCAAAACCAGCCCGGCCCACACACGGGACCTGTGGGTCTGCACACCCTCCACACAAAATAGGCCGCGATCACACAGGACATTGGGTCACCTACCCTCACAAAGCAGCCACATTGCGGTGACAGAAGTAGGTCACACACCCTCCACAAAATGAGCCGACCCACGAGACAGTGTTCCCTGCACACCCTCCTGACAGCCATGGCCCACCTTGCGGGGACCTTGTAGTTCCACACACCCTCCACCAAAACAGCCGGCCCCACCGAGGACCTGTAGGTCCACACCTCCTCCACAAAGCAGCCCGGCCCACCGGGGACCTGTGGGTCCTGCACACCTCCACCAAATATAGACATGACCCACGCGGGGACGGTAGGTCCGCACACCCTCCACCGAAAACAGCTGACCCACACGGTGACCCGTGGGTCACACACCCTCCACCAGATGAGCCACGACCACGGGGACCCGTGGGCCCTGCACACCCCTCCACCGACAGCCCATTTTTTGGGGACCTGTGGGTCCGCACACCCTCCACCAAAACGGCCACGGCCGCGGGGACCTGTGGGTCACACACCCTCACCAAAATGGGCATGACCCACCCCGGGACCACGGCCAGGTCACCACACCCTCACAAAACAGCCACGGCCCACGAGACCCGTAGGTCCCACACACCCTCCACCAGAATAGACCACGACCCCACGGGTCCCGTGGAAATCCCTCACAAATGGGCCACGGCCCACGGGGACCGTAGGCACACCCTCCACAAAATGAACCACGGCCCCCAGGGACCTGTGGATCTGCACACCCTCCACAAAGCAGCCACAGCCCCACCGGGGACCTGTGGGTCCCACTTTCCCTCACCGAGAATGGGCCGATCCGGGGCCGGCCAGTCCACCTCCCTCCACAAAGCCCGACCCACGGGGACCATGAGCTCCGAGTTCCTGCCTGGGCCGTGGTAACTGCTGCATCCACTCTTGGAGCGTATCTTATATAACGGCTTCATGGGTACAACATAGTAATCTGGGCATGGTTTCCTTAGTTCAGTGAACTGCTATGGGCTCTACTGGACTGGGGGATTTGGGGGATTGATTCGGTGGTCAGCGGGGAGAGTATCCAAGTTCAGTTCAAAGACCAGCAAGTGCACTTCGGCGTTACACACCCTCCACAAAATAGACACGACCCACGGGGACCCGTGGGCCCCACACACCCTCCACAAAATAGACACGGCCCACGGGGACCTGTGGGTCCTGCACACCCTCCACAAAACAGCCACAGCCCACGGGGACCTGTGGGTCCCGCACACCCTCCACAAAATAGACACGATCCACGGGGACCGGTGGGTCCCGCACACCCTCCACAAAACAGCCCCGACCCACGGGGACCCATGGGCTCCGAGTTCCTGCCTGGAGCCGTGGTAACTGCTGCATCCACTCTTGGACGTATCTTCACTCCTGTGACTTCATAGATTTTAACATAGTAATCTGGGCATGGTTTCCTTAGCAGTTCCAGTGAACTGCTATGGGCTCTACTGGACGCTGGGGGATTTGGGGGATTCGGTGGTGGCGGGGGAGAGTATCCAAAGTTCCAGTTCAAAGACCAGCAAGTGCACTTCGCGTTACTGACCTTTTTCTTTTTTTTTTTTTCCTTTGAGATGGCGTCTCGCTCTTGTCACCCCGACAGGAGTGCAATGGTGTGATCTCGGCTCGACGCAACCTCTGCCTCCCTGGTTCAAGCCATTCTGCTTCAGCCTCCCGCGTCGCTGGGATTACAGGCGTACGCCACCACGCCCGGCTGATTTTGTGTTTTTAGTACAGACGGGGTTTCACCACGTCAGCCGGGCTGGTCTCAAACTCCCGACCTCAGGTAACGTGCCTACCTCGGCCTCCCAAAGTGCTGGGGTGACAGGCGTGATTTTACACACACAGGCCACTGTGCCTGGCCAGTCCTGCCCAATCTTGAAATGCTGAGGCTCTTAGCAAGCTGAGTGTTGGAGGTAACTTCATAGGAAATAATACGTGGTGTCACTAAGAGAATCCTGCCTCGTGGGTACGACCAAAATCACAGTTCTGGTTGGGCTCCGTGGTTTACCTCTGTCATCTCAGCACTTTGGGGTGGTGACGGGGTGGATCACCTGAGGTCACGAGTTCGAGACCAGCCTGACCAACAGAGAGAAACCCCGTCTCTGCTAAAAACACAAGATTAGCCGGGTGTGGTGGTGCACGCCTGCAATCCCAGCTACTTCAGAGGCTGAGGCGGGAGAGTTGCTTGAACCCCAGGAGGCAGAGATTGCTGTGTGCTGAGATGATTGTGCCACTACACTGCAGCCGGGGTGACAACGCGAGACTTTGTCTCAGAAGGGGTTGGGGGGGCCGGACGCGGTGACTCAAGTCTATAATCCCAACGCTTTGGGAGGCCGAGGTGGGCGGATCACATGAGGTCAAGAGTTCCAGACCAGCCTGGCCAACATGGTGAAACCCGTTCTCTACCAAAAGCAAACTTAGCCGGGCATGGTGGCGTGTGCCTGTAGCCCCAGGTACTGGAGAGGCTGAGGCAGGAGAATTGCTTGAACCCGGGAGGCAGAGGTTGCTGTGAGCTGAGATGGTGCCAGTGCGCTCCAGCCTGGGTGACAAAGCAACAGTCTGTCTCAAAAAAACAAACAAAACAAGCCGGGCACAGTGACTCACGCCTGAAATCCCAGCACTTTGGGAGGCTGAGGCAGGAGAATCACTTGAACCCGGGAGGCGGAGCTTGCAGTGAGCCAAGATCGTGCCACTGCACTCCAGCCTGGGCGACAGAGCGAGACTCCGTCTCAAAAAAAAAAAAAATCACAGTTCCTTCATGTGGATTTGCAGTGGGGCGGTTTCGACTCATCCAGGGCTCCCTGGGAGGGTTCCGTGTTCTAGGTGGAAAAGCCGCGGACGTTGGGACCGTCCCCAGGGGCTGCAGGCCGGCTGACAGGCTCCCTCCTTGCCAGTGTCACTGCTGCCTGGATTCCTTCTCCCTGCTTTCCTCCCCCGCCACACACAGGCAGTGCTGATACCTCCTTTCACCTCTTTTCCTGCAGCTCCAAGTACCCCTGTTTTCGGTTTGGCCCTCACACCCGGCAGAGGCCCAGTCGGGAAGACCCCAACGGGGAGACAGGGCCTGGCGGGGAGGGGATCAGAAGTCAAGCCTGCATCCAGCTCTGGGGAATGAGGGCAGGGACGCAGAAGTCAGGCCGGGGTGGGGAGGGAAGAGCCCAGGCTGGCCTCAGGGTGTGAGCGCAACTGAACCTGCCAGGGCAGATCCCAGAGCCCTGGCCGGATGTGGGCAGCTCCTCAGGTCTGTGGGTAAAAAGGTGCACGGACACAGCATGCTTACGGACAATAGAATCTACCTGGCTACAGAAGCCCTGTACGGTGGCTAAGAGACGTGCAGCCAGGCCGGGCGCGGTGACTCACGCCTGTCATCCCAGCACTTTGGGAGGCCGAGGCGGGCGGATCACGAGCTCAAGAGATTGAGGCCATCCTGGCCAACACGGTGAAACCCCGTCTCTACTAAACATACAAAAATTAGCCGGGCGTGGTGGCAGGCGCCTGTAATCCCAGCTACTCAGGAGGCTGAGGCAGGAGAATGGCGGGAACCCGGGAGATGGAGGTTGCAGTGAGCTGAGATGGCTTCATTTCACTCCAGCCTGGACCACAGAGCCAGACTCCTGTCACAAAAAAACAGCCGTGCAGCCAGGGTCACGTGTACAACTGGGGGCCGGAGAGGACAGACAGGCCAGGCAGGACATCTGGCGCCCTCGGAAAGCAGCAAAGCTGATGTCTCTCAGAAGACCTAGAGGAGCCAGTTACAAGATGCTGGAGGCCGGGCGCGGCGGCTCACGCCTGTCATCCCAGCCCTTTGAGAGGCCAAGGCAGGCGGATGAGGTCAGGAGATCGAGACCAGCCTGGCCAACATGGTGAAACCCCATCTCTACCACAAAATACAAACATTGGCCGGGTGTGGTGGCAGGTGCCTGTCATCCCAGCTACTCCGGAGGCTGAAGCAGGAGAGGTCTGAACCCGGAGGCAGAGGTTGCAGTGAGCCGAGATCACATCACTGCACTCCAGCCTGGGCGGCAGACCGGGACTCTGTCTCAAAATAGAAAAAAGGCCAGGTGTGGTGTCTCACGCCTGTAATCCCGGCACTTTGGGAGGCTGAGGTGGGCGGATCACAAGGTCAAGAGCTCGAGACCAGCCTGGCCAAGAGACCAACCTGGTCACTATGGTGAAGCCCCATCTGTACTAAAAACAACAAAAATTAGCCGAGGGTGGTGGCAGGTGCCTGTCATCCCAACAACTCGGGAGGCTGAGGCAGGGGAATCGCTTGTACTGAGGAGGTGGAGGTTGCTGTGAGCTGAGATCTCATCACTGCACTCCAGCCTGGGCGACAGAGCGAGACTCCAAAAAAAAAACGTGGAAACGTCTGTCTAGTAGTGTTGGAGGAATGGGGCTGAATCCAGAGACGGGGACCAGTGAGTGGGGCCAAAAAAAAAAAAAAAAAGCCCTTTTATCATGAAGTAAACACACAAAGTTCTGTTCTTTCCTTTTCCTGGCAGCCTCGGACTACAATGCACAGGCGTCTCCCACGCCCACCACCCGTTAGGAACGTCCGCTTCTGCGCCGCGTCCAGCAGCCCAGGCTGTGCAGGCGCCTGGCCTGGCCAGGGAGATTGAGGCAGCCCCTGGCAGGCCCTGAACCCCGGTCTCAAGTTTTCTCCACCACCTGTACTTCCAACACCAGACACTCCTCCAGGCCGGCTTTGCCCGCCTCCCAGACCACCTGCAGAGACAAGAGGAGGCTGGGTGAGTCGGCCACCCCCAGATAACAGAGCCCACGTCCGGATCCGTGGGGGCCTGTCCCATCTCAAATCGGCTCTGCAGGCCACGTGCGGTGGCTCACGCCTGTAATCCCAGCACTTTGGGCCGGGCGCGGTGGCTCACACCTGTCATCCCAGCACTTTGGGAGGCCGAGACGGGTGGATCACGAGGTCAGGAGATCGAGACCATCCTGGCTAACACGGTGAAACCCCGTCTCTACTAAAAATACAAAATTAGCCAGGTGTGGTGGCGGGTGCCTGTCATCCCAGCTACTCGGGAGGCTGAGGCAGGAGAATCGCTTGAACCCTGAACCGGGAAGGTGGAGGGTGTGGTGAGCCGAGATCGCACCACTGCACTCCAGCCTGGGCAAAAAGAGCAAAACTCCGTCTCAAACAATAAATAAATAAAAAAACCTGCCGTTCCCCGGTGTGCGGGGCGCGGAGACAGCTCGTGATCATGGTGGGCTGGGAGCCTTCTGTCCCCCCTACTCCCTTCATCCTGCAGGTTTTGGCAGCCGCCCACCAGCGCCGGCAGACGGTGTCCAGCCGCCTAGTCCAGGGCGTCTCACTCTGGTTGCCCAGGCTGGAGTGCGGTGGCTCCATCGTAGTTCACTGCAGCCTCCACCTCCCGGGTTCAAGCGATCCTCCTCCCTCAGCCTCCCAAGTAGCTGGGATTACAGGTGCACACAGCACCACGCCCGGCTGACTTTGTATTTTTAGTACAGACGCAGTTTCTGCATATTGGCCAGGCTGGTCTCGGGTTCCTGGCCTCAAGCGATCCGCCCGCCTGGGCCTCCCAAACCGGCCACCACGCCCGCCCAGACCCCTCCCGCGGCGGAAAACGTAACATACCAGCTTGTCGTGTTGGAAGGTGTCACCGATGGGGTCCTTCATGTGTGGGATGGGGGGAAACAGTCTCTGCATCACCAGATACCTCGGAGGAAAGAGAAATGGTCCAGCTCCAAACCCGCACCGACCAGCTCATCATCCGGGACACGGCGTGGCCAGGACAGGCAGGGCCAGGACGGAGCAAAAGACTCAAGTCACCTACTCGAGGGGTCTCCCTTTTCCCGGCCCCCGAGGCCCTGACATGCCCCCGACAATCATCGTAAGCAAGCGCTGGCGTCTAAGAGGGAGCAGGGTGCTGGGACCGGAGCCACCCAGGGGGGCAGCCAGTAGCTTGCAGCTCCTCCTCCTCCTTTTCAGGGGGCAGCCAGCTTGCAGCTCCTCCTCCTCCTTTTCTTACTCCCTCCCTCCTACTCCTCCTCCTCCTCCTCCCTACTCCTCCTTTCTCTCCTCTCCTCCCACCCCTCCTCCTCCCTCCCACCTCCTCCCCTCCCTCCCCTCCCTACTCCTCCTCCTCCCCCTCCCACCCTCCTCCTCCCCCTCCCTCCCTACTCCTCCTCCTCCTCCCCCTCCCTCCCTACTCCTCCTTCTCTCCTCCCCTCCCACCTCCTCCTCCTCCCACCCTCCTCCTCCCCTCCCCTCCCTCCCTACTCCTCCTCCTCCTCCTCCCACCCTCCTCCTCCCCTCCCTCCCTACTCCTCCCTCCTCCTCCCCTCCTCCCTACCCCTCTCCTCCTCCCACCCCTCCTCCTCCCACCCTCCTCCTCCCCCTCCCTCCCTACTCCTCCTCCTCCCCTCCCACCCTCCTCCTCCCTCCCTACTCCTCCTCCCTCCTCCCCCTCCTCCCTACTCCTCCTCCCTCCTCCCACCCCCTCCTCCCCTCTCCCTCCCTAGCCTCCCTCTCCTCCTCCTCCCACCCCTCCTCCTCCTCCTGTCCCCTCCCACCCTACCTCCTCCCTCCCCTCCCTACTCCTCCTCTTCCTTTTCCTCTCTCTCCCTCCCCTCCCTCCCTACCTCCTTTTCCTCCTCCTCCCTTCCTACTCCTCTCCCCTCCTCCCACCCTCCTCCCCTCCCACCCCTCCTCCTCCCCCTCCCTCCCTACTCCTCCTCCTCCCCTCCCTCCCTACTCCTCCTCTTTCCTCCCTCTCTCCCTCCCTACTCCTCCTTCTCCTCTCCTCCCACCCCTCCTCCTCCCCTCCCTCCCTACCCTCCTCCTCCTCCCCTCCCTTCCTACCCTCCTCCTCCTCCCTACTCCTCCTTCTCCCCTCCCTCCTCCCTACCTCTTTCCTCCTCTCTCTCTCCTCCTCACCCTCTCTCCCTCCATTCTCTCCTCCCTCCCCTCCCTACTCCTCCTCCTCCCTCCCCTCCCACCCTCCCTCCCCTCTCTCTCCTCCTCCCTCCCCTACTCCTCCCTCCCCTCCTCCCCTCCCTACTCCTCCTCCTTCCTCCCATCCTCCCTCCTCACTCCTCCTCCCCCACCTCCCTACTCCTCCTCCTTTTCCTCCCCTCCTCCCTAATCCTCCTCCTCCTTTCCTCTCCCCTCTCCCCTCCCCTTCCTCCTCCGCCTCTGGGAGACAGAAGTTACCACTGCACCCATTTGACAGTTTGTGAAGCTGTAATGCCTGGCAAGGAGGAGACTGGGCCTGGCCGGGCATAATGGCTCACGCCTGTCACCCCAGCACTTTGCGAGGCCGAGGCGGGCAGATCAACTGAGGTCAGGAGTTTGAGACAAGCCTGGTCCACATGGCAAAACCCCATCACTACTAAACTGTAAAAAATTAGCTGGGTGTGTTGCTGGGCGCCTGTCATCCCAGCTACTGGGGAGGCTGAGGTAGGAGGATCGCTTGAACCCGAGACGGACGCTGCAGTGAGCCGAGATCGGGCCGCTGCACCCCAGCCTGGGCCACAAGAGCTAGACTAGCTGCAAAAATGCTCCTAATGATGCTCAGGACGGTTCTGTGAATAACTTTCTTCAGGGTCGCACTGGAAACAAGAGGGACTCCCACAGAGGCTATGGAGACCACCGCAGATGAGGAAAACACAGAGCAAGGCCAGCAACGTCCTCACAACAGTAGCTACGCCATGACGCAAGCTCGCGTCTCTTGTGTTCGCGCACTCTAGGGACAGACAGAGGTCAGCTTGACCAGGGCCTCAGTCTAGGGAGCGTAGGCCACGGCCGGGCCTCTGCCCAGGGGAAGGACGAGAGGGTCACGGACTGGGGCCTCAGTCTAGGGGAGAGGGTCATGGATCCGGGCCTCAGTCTAGGGGAGAGGGCCGGGCCGGGCCTGGCCCAGGGGGAGAGGGTCACGGATCCGGGCCTCAGTCTAGGGGGAAGGACGAGAGGGTCGTTGACCAGGGCCTCAGTCTAGGAGAGGGTCACGGATCCGGGCCCAGGCTTAGGGGAAGGGGATGAGAGGGTCAGCTGACCGCCCCAGCCTGGGGAGAGGGCCGGGCGGATCAGCCCAGTCTAGGGAGAGGGCCTGACCCGGGCCTCAGTCTAGCGGGAGAGGGTCACGGATCCGGCCTCAGTCTAGGGGGAAGGACGAGAGGGTCACTTGACCGGGGCCTCAGTCTAGGGGAGAGGGTCATGGATCGGGCCTGAAATTAAAGGAAGGACTTGTGAGGGTCATGGACCGGGGCCTCAGTCTAGCGGGAGAGGGTCATGGACCGGGGCCTCAGTCTAGGGGGAAGGACGAGAGGGTCACTTGACTGGGGCCTCAGTCTAGGGGGGAGAGGGTCAGTGACCGCCTCAGTCTAGGGGGAGAGGGCCGTGATCCGGGCCTCAGCCCAGGAGGGCCAGCTGGCTGGCCTCAGTCTAGGGGAGAGGTCACGGATCCGGGCCTCTGTCTAGGGGAGAGAGGGCGAGAGGGTCAAGGTCCGGGGCCTTCAGTCTAGGAGGCTGTGACCGGGCCTCAGCTCAGGGGAGAGGGTCACGGACCGGGCCTCAGCTCCAGGGGAGAGGAGTAGAGGGTCACGGATCTCGGGCCTCAGCTCAGGGGAGAGGGCGAGAGGCCACGTCCGGGCCTCAGTCTAGGGGGAGAGGGCTGCGGGACCGCCCAGTCTAGGGAGAGGCGGTGGAGTGGTCACGGACCGGGCCTCAGCTCCAGGGGAGAGGGCGAGGGTCAAGGTCCCGGGGCCTCAGTCTAGGGGGATCAGAGACCAGGCCTCAGTCTAGGGGATCAGGGACCAGGGCCTCAGTCTAGGGGAAGGACGAGAGGGCTGACTGGGGCCTCAGTCTAGGGGGAGAGGGTCATGCACCGGGCCTCAGTCTGGGGAGGGGAGGCCAGTGATCCCGGCTCCCAGTCTAGGGGAGAGGGTCACGGGCCGGGGCCTCAGCTCCAGGGGGAGAGAGGCCATGATCCGGGCCTCAGTCTAGGGGAGAGGGCGAGGCTTCAAGGTCCGGGCCTGGGCTCAGGGGAGAGGGCCGCGGACCGGGCCTCAGTCTAGGGGAGAGGGTCACGGACCGGGCCTAGCCCAGGAGAGGCACGAGAGGCTGGGCGCGGATCCGGGCCTCAGTCTAGGGGGAGAGGGCGAGAGGGCCGCGGTCCGGGGCCTCGGCCTTAGGGGAGAGGGTCATGGACCGGGCCTCAGCCCAGGGGGAGAGGGTCACGGACCGGGCCTCAGTCTAGGGAGAGGGCGAGAGGGTCACTTGACCGGGCCTCAGTCTAGGGGAGAGGGCAGAGGGAGCCAAGGTCCGGGGCCTCAGTCTAGGGATCAGGAGACCAGGGCCTCAGCCCAGGGGACCAGGACCAGGGCCTCAGTCTAGGGGCTGGGACGAGAGGGCCGCTTGACTGGGGCCTCTAGCTCCAGGAGAGGGCCATGGACCGCCTCAGTCTAGCGGGAGAGGAAGTCGCTGATCCGGCCCTCTCAGCCTGGGGAAGGACGAGAGGGACATGGACTGGGCCTTGGGCCCAGGGGAGAGGGTCATGGACCGGGCCTCTGGGGCTCAGGGGAAGGACGGAGGGTCGCTGACCGGGCCTCAGTCTAGGGGAGAGGCTGCGACCGGGCCTCAGTCTAGGAGAGGGTCACGGCCAGGGCCTGAATCAGGGGGAGAGGGTCACGATCCTGGGCCTCAGCCCAGGGGAAGGACGAGAGGGTCAGCTGACCTGGGCCTGCAGCTCAGGGAGAGTCACGGACCAGGCCTCAGTCTAGGGGGAGAGGGGACGAGAGGTCACGGGCCGGGCCTCAGTCTAGGGGAGAGGGTCACGGCCGGGGCCTCAGTCTAGGGGAGAGGACGAGAGGGCACACGGCCTGGGCCCTCAGTCTAGGGGGAGAGGGTCACGGGCCGGGGCTCCTGCCCAGGGGGAGAGGACGAGAGGGTCACGGGCCGGGCCTCAGTCTAGGGGGAGAGGGTCATGGACCAGGGCCTCAGTTCAGGGGGAGAGGGCCGCTTGGGACTGGGCCTCAGTCTAGGGAGGCCACGGACCAGGACTCAGTCTGGGGGAGAGGACGAGGGTCACGGGCCGGGCCTCAGTCTAGGGGGAGAGGGCTCATGGCTGGGCCTCAGTCTAGGGGGAGGGTCATGGACCAGGGCCTCAGTCTAGGGGAGAGGGTCACGGACTGCCTCGCCTAGGGGGAGAGGGTCACTGACCAGGACTCTGGGGCCCAGGAGAGGATTGTAGAGGGTCACGGGCCGGGGCCTCTGGTCTAGGGGGAGAGGGTCACGGGTCACCTCAGTCTAGGGAGAGGACAAGAGGTCGCTGCCGGGCCTCAGTCTAGGGGATCAGGGACCGTGGCCTCCCGCAGCTCCTGGGAAGCAGACAGGTGGTTGCCACACGGGAAGCAGGCCCATGGGGGAGCACCTCTGTCCTGCCACCCGCACGAAACTGTGACCACCTCGCTGGCCACCCGCGCCCCTGGACAAGGAGGGACATCCGGGCCTCAACAGGCCTCAGCCCGGAACCCTAAGTCCCGGGACTCGAGCTAACACCGACCTCCCAGCCTGGAACCCGGAGCGACATCCCGACTGCCCAGCTCCGGAGCGGGGAAGCGTCCATGGGGGACACCCCCGTCCTGCCACCCGCACGGGAACTGTGACCACCTGCGGGCCACCTGCGTCCCTGGACAAGGAGGGACATCCGGGCCTCACAGCCCCAGCCCGGAACCCTGCGTCCCAGAACCAGGAGGTACATCCGGACCTCCCAGCCCCAGCCCGGAACCCTGCGTCCCAGGACCCGGAGCGACATCCGGACCTCCCAGCCGGGAACCCTGTGTCCCGGAACCCGGAGCGACGTCCGGGCCTCCCGTCCCCAGCCCGGAACCCTGCGTCCCAGAACCAGGAGGTACATCCGGGCCTCCCAGCCCCAGCCCGGAACCCTGCGTCCCAGGACAAGAAGGTACATCCGGGCCTCCCAGCCCCAACCTGGGACCCGGAGCTACATCCGGGCCTCCCAGCCCCAGGCCGAAACCCTGCGTCCCAGGACAAGGAGGTACATCCGGGCCTCCCAGCCCCAGCCCGGAACCCTGCGTCCCAGGACAAGGAGGTACATCCGGGCCTCCCAGCCCCAACCTGGGACCCGGAGCTACATCCGGGCCTCCCAGCCCCAGGCCGAAACCCTGCGTCCCAGGACAAGGAGGTACATCCGGGCCTCCCAGCCCCAGCCCGGAACCCTGCGTCCCAGGACAAGGAGGTACATCCGGGCCTCCCAGCCCCAGCCCGGAACCCGGAGCGACGTCCGGGCCTCCCAGCCCCAGCCCGGAACCCGGAGCGACGTCCGGGCCTCCCAGTCCGGAACCCTGCGTCCTGGAGCCGGAGCGACATCCGGGCCTCCCAGCCCCAGCCCGGAACCCGGAGCGACGTCCGGGCCTCCCAGCCCCAGCCCGGAACCCGGAGCGACGTCCAGGCCTCCCAGTCTGGAACCCCGCGTCCTGGAGCCGGAGCGACATCCGGGCCTCCCAGCCCCAGCCCGGAACCCGGAGCGACATCCGGGCCTCCCAGCCCGGAAGCCTAAGGGAATTGAAAGGCCACGTGCATCCCCGTCTGCCTGGTGCTGGGGACACGGGGAGCGCCGGGGCTTCCACTGTGCCTCGCAGCCTGGCAGGTGCTTCGGGGGCGGTCAGCACGGGGGGGAAGCTGAGGCACCACCGGCGTGCGTGCTTGGAACTCGATTTTCTGGGTATCACGGACTGTATATTTTTATGTGTGTATTTTTTTTCCCTTAATTTTTTCCTGTTTTTTTTGAGGATTCTGGCTCTGTTGCCAGGCTGCAGTGCAGTGTTGCAATCTGATCTCAGCTCACTGCAACCTCCCTCTCCCGGGTTCAAGCAATTCTCCTCCCGCAGCTGCCTCCCCAATAGCTGGGACTACTACAGGCACCTGCCACCACGCCCAGCTAATTTTTCTATTTCTAATAGAGACGGGGTTTCATCATCTTGGCCAGGCTGGTCTTGAACTCCTGACCTCAAGTGATCCACCCGCCTCGGCCTCCCAAAGTGCTGGGATGACAGGCGTGAGCCACCGCGCCCGGCCTGATTTTTTTTTTCTTTTTCTTTTTTTGAGACAGAGTCTGGCTCTGGAGTGCTGTGTTGCGATCTCAGCTCACTGCAACCTCTGCCTCCCGGGTTCAAACGATTCTCCTGTCTCAGCCTCCCGAGAGGATTGCTTGAGCCCAGGAAGGTGAGGCTGCAGCGAGTCGTGATCGCACCACGGCCTCCAGCCTGGGCACTAAACACTATCCCCAAAAAAAAAAAAAAAAAAAAAAAAAATAGATACATCTATGATCTCTCCCCCAGAACCTATGATGATAACCTTATTTGGAATGAGGGTGGATCTGCTTGTTGGGACTGCCATAAAAAAAGTCCAGCAGCCTGGTGGCTTCAGAACAAAGGAATTTGGCCGGGCACGGTGGCTCACACCTGTCATCCCAGCACTTTGGGAGGGCGAGGCGGGTGGATCACCTGAGTTCGGGAGTTTGAGACCAGCCTGGCCAATATGGTGAAACCTGGTCTCTACTAAAAATACAAATATTAGCCAGGTGTGGTGGCGGGCGCCTGTAATACCAGCTACTCAGGAGACTGAGGCAGGAGAAACATGTGAACCTGGGAGGTGGAGGTTGCAATGAGCCAAGATCATCCCATCGCACTCCAGCCTGGGCGACAGGGCGAGACTCCATCTCAGAAAAAAAAAAAGAAAGAAAGAAAAGAAAAAAAAAGGAATTGAAGGAATTGGGCCGGACGTGGTGGCTCAAGCCTGTCATCCCAGCACTTTGGGAGGCCGAGATGGGCGGATCACGAGGTCAGGAGATCGAGACCATCCTGGCTAACACGGTGAAACCCCGTCTCTACTAAAAATACAAAAAACTAGCCGGGGGAGGTGGCGGGCGCCTGTAGTCCCAGCTACTCCGGAGGCTGAGGCAGGAGAATGGCGTAAACCCGGGAGGCGGAGCTTGCAGTGAGCTGAGATCCGGCCACTGCAGTCCAGCCCGGGCTACAGAGCAAGACTCCGTCTCAAAAAAAAAATAAAAAAAAAAGGAATTGATTCTCCCACAGTCCCGGAGGCTGGAAGTCTGAGATCCAGGTGTGGGCAGGGCTGGTTCCCCCTGCGGCCTCTCTCCTGGGCTTGGAGATGCCGTCTTCTCCCTGTGTCCTCACAAGATTGTCCCTCTGTGTGTGTCTGTGTCGTCATCTCCTCTTCTTACAAGCACCCCAGTCCTCTTGGATTACAGCTCTCCCTAGTGACCTCATTTTACCTCAGTCACCTCTTGATAGACCCCAACTCCAAACAAAGTCACATTCTGAGGTTCTGGGGGATCAAAGCTTCAACACGCGAATTTTGAGGGAACACAATTTACGCCATCACGCACGGAGTCTTTGCAGATGCATTCAAGTAAAGATGAGGTCATCAGGGCCGGCCCTCATCCGACAGGAGTGATGTGCGCGAGAGGTCAGGATCGGAACACAGACGCACACCATCCTGTGGATGGTCTTTGCAGATGTCGTTAAGGGTCTTAGATGAGATCATCCTGCAGTAGGATGGGCCCTAAATCCAATGACAGGTGTCCTCTCAAGAGACAGAAGAGGAGACACAGACACAGAGGAGGAGGCCACATGGAGACGGAGGCAGAGACTGGAGTGATGCAGCCACAAGCCCAGGGATGCCTGGAGGCCCCAGGAGCTGGGAGAGGCAGGAAGGAGCCTCCCCTAGAGCCTCCGGAGGGAGCTTGATACAACTGAGGTGGATTGAACTGTGGTCCCCTAAAAACATATGTCCATATTCTAACCCAATAACCTATAAATGGACACAGAGACTGGAGAGATGCGGCCACAATCCAAGGGACACCTGGAGGCCCCAGGAGCTGGGAGAGGCAGGAAGGATCCTCCCCTAGAGCCTCCAGAAGGAACTGGATACAACTGTGATGGATTGAATGGTGACCCCAAGACATATGTTTCGTCCTACCCCCCAGAACCAACGAATGGGACTTTATATTTGGAAATAGGGTCTTCGCATAGGTAAGAAAGTTAAGGATCTTGAGATGAGATCATCCTGAATTGGGATGGTCCATAAATGCAATGACAGGTGTCCTTCTGAGAGACCGAAGAGGAGACACAGACACAGAGGAGAAGGCCACGTGGAGACGGAGGGAGACACTGGAGTGATTTCGGCTGCAAGCCCAGGGATGCCTGGAGGCCCCAGGAGCTGGGAGAGGCAGGAAGGACCCTCCCCTGGAGCCTCTACAGGGAACGCAGCCCTGCCTACACATGGATCTCAGACTTCAGGTCTCCAGGACCAAAAGAGAATAAACTCTTGTTTTTTCTTTTTTTTTTTTTGAGACAGAGTCTCGCTCTATCGCCCAGGCTGGAGTCCAGTGGCCGGATCTTAGCTCACTGCAGACTCTGCCTCCCGGGTTCACGCCATTCTCCTGCCTCAGCCTCCTGAGTAGCTGGAACTACAGGCGTTCACCACCAGGCCTGGCTAATTTTTGTATTTTTAGTAGAGACGGGGTTTCACCGTGTTAGCCAGGATGGTCTCGATCTCCTGACCTCGTGATCCGCCCGTCTCGGCCTCCCAAAGTGCTGGGATGACAGGCGTGAGCCACCGCGCCCGGCCAGTTGCTGTTCTTTAATCCACACACATTTGTGGCCAGTCTGTCTCTGTCTCTCTCTCAGACAGAGTCTCCCTCTGTCAGCCTAGGCCTGAGGGCCATGGTGCAACCACAGCTCACTGCAGCCTCAACCTCCTGGACTCAAGCCACCCCTGTAGTCCCAGCGACTTGGGAGGTTGAGATGGAAGGATCCTCCTGAGCCCTGGAGGAGGTGAGCTGTGATTAACCCCGGGACACACGTAAGGTAAAACCTCTCCGCGGAGAACTGGGGCCTGGGAGATTCGGTCTCCGGCTGTGCTGTTTCCAGAATGGAAACATTCTTTGAATTATAGGAGAGGGGATCTGCTGTTAGATCGGCTCAGGAAGCAACGGCAGTTTTTGTTGTTTTTTTTTTAGGCTGAGTATCACTCTGTCCCCCAGGCAGGACTGCAGTGGCACGATCTGGGCTCACCGCAACCTCTGCCTCGCAGGTTCAGGCGATTCTCTGTCGTAGCTGTGGGATGACAGGCATAAGCCACAGCACCCGGCCTAATTTTTGTATTTTTAGTAGAGACGGGGTTTCGCCATGTTGGCCAGGCTGGTCTCGATCTCCTGACCTCAGGGGATCCACCCACCTCAGCCTCCCAAAGTGCTGGGATGGCAGGCCTGAGCCGTGGTGCCTGGCCAGAAGCTTTTACTCTCAAGCAATCCTTTTCTGAATCCGGCTGCAGAGTCCATGGGCACAGCCACTCTAGATGGAAGAGAGCAACCCCTGGCCTGCAGACGGCTGTGTCTTATTTGATTTGATTTTTTTGAGACGGAGTCTGGCTCTGTCGCCCAGGCTGGAGTGCAGTGGCTGGATCTCCGCTCACTGCAAGCTCTGCCTCCCGGGTTCACACCATTCTCCTGCCTCAGCCTCCTGAGCAGCGGGGACTACAGGTGCCCACCACCACGCCCGGCTAATTTTTTGCATTTTTAGTAGAGACGGGGTTTCACCGTGTTAGCCAGGATGGTCTCCATCTCCTGACCTCGTGATCCGCCCACCTCAGTCTTATTCCAAGGCCCAGGGGGTGTCTGTCAGTGGGATGACCTTGTTTCCCCTCCACGTTTCCTCTCGTGAATAAGAGTAAGGTGTGAGGTCACCATCAGGTTCAGGCGCCTTTTGGAGGTCACAAACTGGGGGAGTGAATCTCCTCTCCTTTGCAGGCAGAACACCAAGAAACAAGAACTGGTGACCCGTAGAGGCAGGCAGGCGGGGGGTGGCCTGTGTTTCCGTGACCCAGGATGGCGCGCCTGACTTCCACTCACCCATAAAGGACACTGGAGGGGCACGCCCTGCTCACCCCACTCCCCACTCACCGAAGCGCTGGGGGGTGCTCCAGGCACTCGAGAATTCATACATTGTTTCCTGGGCTCTTATTTGCACTGTGTACGTTCCAGGATTGGGTAGCTGGAAGGAGGTTGTGTCTCTGACCTGTGGTTTAAAAGAAAATAAAGAAGGAAAGAGGGGCCGGGTGTGGTGGCTCACGCCTCTCACCTCAGCACTTTGGGAGGCCGAGGCAGGTGGATCACCTGAGGTCAGGAGTTCAAGACCAGCCTGGCCAACGTGGTGAAACCCCGTCTCTACTAAAAATACAAAAATTAGCCGGGTGTGGTGGCGGCACCTGTCGTCCCAGCTACTCGGGAGGCTGAGGCAGGAGAATCACTGGAACCTGGGAGGTGGAGGTTGCAGTGAGGTGAGATCGCACCAGTGCACTGCAGCCTGGGTAACAGAGACTGTGTGTCAAAATAAGAAAAGAAAGAAAGAAAGAAAAAGGAAGGAAGGAAGGAAGGAGAGAAGAGAGAAGTAAAAGAGAAAGAGGAAGAAAGGAAGGAGGGAGGGGAGGAGAAAATAGGAGAGAGAGAGGGAGGGAGGGAAAGAGAAAAGAAAAAAAAGGAAAAGAAAGAAGAAAAGAGGGGCTGGGCGCTATGGTTCATGCCTCTCACCACAGCACTTTTGGAGGCTGAGGTGGGAGAATTGTTTAAGCCCAGGAATTTGACACCAGCCTGGGCAACATAGCAAGGCCCTATCTTTACTGAGAAAAAAAATGTAAAAATTACCAGACATGGTGACACACACCTTTGGTCCCAGCTACTGGGGAGGCTGAGGTGGGAGGATACTGTGAGCCTAGGAGTTTGAGACCAGCCTGAACAACAAAACAAGACCCCATCTCTACAAAAAAATTTGTTTGTTTTGTTTTGAGATGGAGTTTCGCTTTTGTGGCCCAGGTTCAAGTGATTCTTCAGCCTCAACCTCCCGAGTAGCTGGAATCACAGGTGTGCACCACCACGACCGGCTAATTTTGTATTTTTAGTAGAGACGGTGTTTCTCCATGTTGGTCAGGCTGGTCTGGAACTCCCGACCTCAGGTGATCCGCCCCCCGCCTCAGCCTCCCAAAGTGCTGGGATTACCGGCATGAACCACCATGCCCAGCCAAAAATATTGTTTAAGCCTGTGGAATTTGCCACACCAGCCTGGGCAACATGCAAGGCTGCCCTATCTTTACTGAGAAAAATGTAAAAATTACTGTGACACAGGACACACACCTTTGGTCCCAGCTACTGGGAGGCTGAGTGGGAGGATACTGTGAGCTCTAGGAGTTTAATTTCAGCCTGAACAACAAAACAAGACCCCATCTCTACAAAAAAGTTTTTTGTTTTGTTTTGAGATGGAGTTTCGCTTTTGTGGCCCAGGTTCAAGTGATTCTTCAGCCTCAACCTCCCGAGTAGCTGGAATCACAGGTGTGCACCACCACGACCGGCTAATTTTGTATTTTTAGTAGAGACGGTAAGCCCATGTTGGTCAGGCTGGTCTGGAACTCCCGACCTCAGGTGATCCGCCCCCCGCCTCAGCCTCCCAAAGTGCTGGGATTACCGGCATGAACCACCATGCCCAGCCGCAGGCTATGCTATGCTATGCTATGCTATGCTATGCTATTCTATTCTATGCTATTCTATGCTATGCTATTCTATGCTATGCTATTCTATGCTATGCTGTGCTTTTCTATGCTATGCTATTCTATGCTGTGCTATTCTATGCTATGCTATGCTATTCTATGCCATATTGTATGCTATGCTATTCTATGCTATGCTATTCTGTGCTATGCTATTCTATTCTATGCTATTCTATGCTATGCTATTCTATGCTATGCTATTCTATGTTATGCTATTCTATGCTATGCTATGCTATGCTATGCTATGCTATGCTATGCTATTGTATGCTATGCTATTGTATGCTATGCTATTCTATGCTATGCTATTCTGTGCTATGCTATTCTATGCTATGCTATTCTATTCTATGCTATTCTATGCTATGCTATTCTATGCTATGCTATGCTATTCTATTCTATGCTATTCTATTCTATGCTATTCTATTGTATTCTATTCTATGCTATTCTATTCTGTTCTATGCTGTGCTGTTCTATGCTGTGCTATGCTATGCTATGCTATACTATGCTATGCTATGCTATGACAGAGTTTTGCTCTGTTGCCCAGGCTAGAGTGCAGTGGCATGATCTTGGCTCACTGCAACCTCCGCCTCCCGGGTTCACACCATTCTCCTGCCTCAGCCTCCCGAGTAGCTGGGACTACAGGCGCCACCACCGCACCCGGCTAGTTTTTTGTATTTTTTAGTAGAGACGGGGTTTCACCGTGTTAGCCAGGATGGTCTCGATCTGACCTCGTGGTCCGCCCGCCTCAGCCTCCCAAAGTGCTGGGATTCCCGGCGTGAGCCACCGCGCCTGGCCCCAAAGTGTTTTTAAATGAACTGACATGGTGGCAAACGCCTGTGGTTTCACGTACTCAGGAGGCTGAGGCAGGAGGATCCCTTGAGCTCAGGAGGCAGAGGTTGCAGTGAGCCGTGACTGTGCCACTGACCTCCAGCCTGGGTGACACAGTGGGAGCCTGTCTCAAATTAAAAACCAAAAAGTAGAAGAAAAAACCATTCATATTTGGTGGGTGCAAAAGAACGAGGCTGCACTGTGATCCCCCAAACTTCGTATGATACAGTCTTAGCCCCCAGCACCTTTCAGTGGGGCCTTAGGATGAAATAGTTGTTCATGACAGACGTCATGAAGATGCAAATTGAGATGATGTCATTTTGGATTAGGGTGGGCCCTAAATTCTATGACCGATGTCCTTATAAGAAGAGGAGACACGGCCAGGTGCGGTGGCTCACGCCTGTCATCTCAGCGCTTTAGGAGGCTGAGGTGGGCGGATCACCTCAGGTCAGGAGTTCGAGGTCAGCCTGAGCAACAAGGTGAAACCCTGTCTTTACTAAAAATACAAAAAATTAGCCAGGCGAGGTGGCGGGCACCTGTAGTCCCAGCTACTCGGGAGGTTGAGGCAGGAGAATGGGGTGAACCCGGGAGGTGGAGCTTGCAGTGAGCCGAGATTGCACCACTGCACTCCGTCTCAAAAAAAAAAAAAAAAAAAAAGAGAGAGACACAGATGCAGAGAAAAAGGTCACGTGGAGACGGAGGCAGAGAGTGGAGTGATGTGGCCAGAAGCCCAGGGACCCCTGGAGTCCCCAGGAGCTGGGAGAGGCAGGAAGGATCCCCATTCGTCCGTGAAAATGGACTAATACAGGGGGACAGACAGAGACAGAGATAGAGATACAGAGACAGACAGAGGGGAGGCAGAGAGAGGGAGAGAGAAAAACAGAGACAGAGAGAAAAGCAGAAACAGGACAGAGACAGAGATAGAGATAGAGAAACAGAGACAGACAGAGGGGAGGCAGAGAGAGGGAGAGAGAAAAAGAGAGACAGAGAAAAGCAGAAACAGAAGGACAGACACAGAGAGTGGGTGATGTTATCTGGCTGTGTCCCCACCCAAATCTCATCTTAAATTCTAGCTCCCATAATTCCGACGTGTTGTGAGAGGGACTGAGTGGGAGATAATTGAATCATGGGGGCAATCTCCCCCATACTGTTCTCAGGGTAGTGAATACGTCTCACGAGATCTGATGGTTTAATAAGGGAAACCCTTTCTCTTGCCTTTTTTTTTTTTTTTTTTTTTTTCCCTCCGGACATAGTTTTGCTGTCGCCCAGGCTGGAGTGCAGTGGCGTGATCTCAGCTCCCTGCAACCTCCACCTCCCGGGTTCATGCCATTCTCCTGCTTCAGCCTCCTGAGTAGCTGCGACTACAGGTGCCCGCCACCTCGCCTGGCTAATATTTGTATTTTTAGTAGAGATGGGGTTTCACCCTGTTGGCCAGGCTGGTCTCGAACTCCTGACCTCGTGATAGGCCCACCTCGGCCTTCCAAGGTGCTGGGATGACAGGCGTGAGCCACCACGGCCGGCTAATTTTTGTATTTTTAGTAGAGACGGGGTTTCACCCTGTTGGCCAGGCTGGTCTCGAACTCCCGACCTCAGGTGATCCGCCCGCGTCGGCAGTTGTTGTAAAACATCTTGTCTTGGCCGCTGCCTTGTAAGACATGCCTCTGCTCCTTCTTCACCTTCTGCCATGGTTGTGAGGCCTCCCTAGCCACGTGGAACTGTGAGTGCATGAACCGTCTTTTGTTTATAAATTACCAGGTCTTGGGTATGTCTTTATCAGCAGTGTGACATGGACTAATACAGGGGGACAGACAGGGAGAGACAGAGAAAGACAAAGACAATCACAGAGAATGGGAGAGAGAAAGGGAGAAAGAGACAGAGACAGAGAGGGGAAGGGAGAGAGAGACAGGGAGAGAACTAGAAACATAAAGAGAGGGGCTGGGCGCGATGGCTCATGCCTGTTATCCCAGCATTTTGGGAGGCCAAGGCGTGTGGATCACCTGAGGTCAGGAGTTCAAGACCAGCCTGGCCAACATAGTGAAACCGTATCTGTATTAAAAATACAAAAAAAAAAAACTTAGCTGGGCATGGTGGCGAGTGCCTGTAATCCCAGCTACTTGGGAGGCCGAGGGAGTAGATTTGCTTAAACCCGGGAGGCAGAGGTTGCAGCAAGCCGAGATCGTGGCACCGCACTCCAGCCTAGGCAACAAGAGCAAAACTCCGTTTCAAAAAGAAACATGAAGGGAGGGAGGGAGAAAGGGAGAGAGATACAGAGACACAGAGAGACTGGGAGGGGGGAGATACAGACAAGGAGAGAGAGATAAAGAGGGGGAGGGAGAATGAAAGAGGGAGAGACAGACACAGACGGGGACAGTGGGAGATAGAGACAGAGAAAGAGGGACAGAGAGAGAAAGAGGGAGGGAGAAAGGGAGAGAGATACAGAGACAGAGGAGGAGATACAAGGAGAGAGAGATAAAGAGGGGGAGGGAGAATGAAAGAGGGAGAGACAGGGACACAGACGGGGACAGTGGGAGATAGAGACGGAGACAGAGAAAGAGGGAGGGAGAAAGGGAGATACAGAGACAGACACAGAGAGGGGGAGATAGAGATAGGCAGAGAGAGAGAGGGAGGGAGAAAAGGAGAGAGATACAGAGACGGGGAGGGAGACAGAGATGAGAGAGAGACAAAGAGAGAAAGGGAGAGATTCAGAGACACCGAGAGAGAGAGAGGGAAACAGATGGACAGAGGGAGAGGGGACATGACAATGCGGTGGTCCGGCTGTTTGTTCCAGATCCCAGGCAGGGGCTGGTGGAGGGTCCCCTGTGTGAGGTGCTCGTCTCAGGCCTGGGCCACCTGTCTGTCGTGCTTGTCTCTGCTGGGTAGAGCTATGGTTTGGTAGCTCCTTCCTGCTGGACTGCGGCTGCCTGGCCCAGGGTAAGGCATGTGGGGCAAATGGGTGGACCTTGTTTGGACGGCGCCTGGCCAGCCACGGCGTCTGGCTCACACCTCGGGAGAGGTCATTCCTGACTCTGCCTTTTCCCGTCCCTCAATTTGGGGATGGGCAATATCCCAATTTTGCAAGATTGCAGTAAGGGTGACATCCAGAGCCTGTCAAATGAAAGCCACTGAACTATGACTAATAACATTATAATATTATTATGTAATTATATATATTATTATATATTATATATTTACATATATACAATTTATATATAGTCATATAATTATGTATAATATATTAAACAATTATATATTATAAAAATATATATTATAAAAATATATAATATATAAATTATAAAATATATATAATGATATATATAACATATATAATTGTATATATAATTACATATGATATATAAAATATATCATATATAATATAAATATATCATATATAATATAAATATATCACATATAATTATATATAATATATATAAAATATAAATATATATTATATATGGTGACAGCAAGACTCCATCTCAAAAATAAATATATAATATATAATATATGTTATATATATTATATATGTTATATATTATGTTATATATTATATATGTTATATGTTATATGTTATATATAATATATAATATATATGTTATATATTATATTGTACATAATTATAACAATTATATATAATATATTGTGTATTATATATCATATCATATGTGATAAATAACAATTCTATATTATATCACATATAATATATAATACAATATATAATATACAGCATATCACATATAACATTATATATCTAATATATAGCATATATTATATATGTTGTGTGTTATCTAATACATTATATGTAAGATATTATATATAATTATATATTATAATAAATAGTATATAATAAAAATATTAATATAAAAATTAATCGTATTAATTATGTATAATATATTAATTATATATTATAAAAATATATAATATATAAATTATAAAATATATGATATATAATATATAACATAATTGTATACATAATTATATATAATTATATATTATATATTTATATAATATATAAATGTTATATATATATGGTGACAGCAACACTCCATCTCAAAAATATAGAATATATATGTGATATATATGTTATATGTGCTATATATATAATATATGTTATATATAATATATAACATATTGTGTATTATGTCACATATTATATATGTGATAAATAACAATTCTATATTATATCACATATAATATATAATACAATATATAATATACAGCATATTACATATTATATATGTAATATATAGCATATATTGTTATATATTATATGTTGTGTGTTATGTAATACATTATATGTAATATATTATATATAATTACGTATTGTAATAAATAGCATATAATAAAAATATTAATATAAAAATTAATCGTATTATTAATAATAATAATAAAACTCACCCTTTGCAATGTCAAGTGCAGCGTCTGGGGGTAGGGAACACTCACCTGTTCTGTCCTTACAGGCTGCATTCTCTGCAAAAGATAAAAGCAAACAAACTTTTGAGTGTCTGGAGGGTTACCTGACAGCCTCCTCCTTCCAAACTCAAATTTGCTTCTCCAGGAAAACCAGCAAAACAGTGGGGGCTCTGGGAAGGCCTTGGGGCAGCAGTGGGGGCAAAAGCAGTAGGGGTACATAGCACCTGACCAAAAGGTTGGTTGGGTGATTTATTTATTTATATCACGTAGTCTTACTCTGTCGCCCAGGCTGGAGTGCAGTGGCGTGATTTTGGCTCACTGCAAGCTTCGCCTCCGGGGTTCACGCCATTCTCTTGCCCCAGCCTCCCGAGTAGCTGGGACTACAGGTGCCAGCCACCACACCCGGCTAATTTTTTGTAGTTTTAGTGGAAAGTTGGCCAGGATGGTCTTGATCTCTTGACCTCATGATCCGCCCGTCTCGGCCTCACAAAGTGCTGGGATGACAGGTGTGAGCCACCGCGCCCGGCCCAAAAGGTTTCTTATGGTGTACAAGCCCTTGTGGCAAGACCTTGGTGGGAGGGGGCTTTGTGAGGCCTGTGGACAAACAAGACCCTGTCGTCTCAGACTGCTTCCAGATGCACCCAGGGGTAGCCACAGACAGCCTATGCCAGGCCAACAAACTGGGAGGGGTGCAGCACCAGACTAGCTACGACTCCGCCTCTGGCTGCAGCTACGCCTGCTCCCTCATCAGTGAAAGAAAGAAAGAAGTCTGTGCTGTATTTATTTTCTTTAAAAAAGACAAACACATTGGCTCAAAACTACTTGGTAATATAAAAGAAATTCATAGACCTAAAGTTTTTGAGCAGATGTAGACTTACAGAAAAACTGCATATGAAATAATCAGTATTTGAGCATAAATAATAACTATATGGCCAGGCACGGTGCCTTGCATCTGTAATCCCAGGCCTTTGGGAGGCTGAGGCGGGTGCATCACGAGGTTAGGAGTTCAAGACTAGCCGGGCCAAGATGGTGAAACCCCCGTCTCTACTAAAAAATACAAAAAAAATTAGCCAGGCACGGTGGCAGGCACCTGTCATCCCAGCTACTCAGGAGACTGAAGCCGAGAATCGCTTGAACCCAGGAGGCGGAGGATACAGTGAGCTAAGATCGTGCCACTGCACCCCAGCCTGGGTGACAAGAGTAAGACTCTATCTCAAAAATAAATAAATAAATAAATACATAAATAAATAAATACATAAATAAATAAAAATAAAAAACTAAATATAGTACATAGGCTGGGCCCGGAGGCTCACACCTGTAATCCCAGCACTTTGGGCGACAGAGCAAGACTCTGGCAATGCAATGCAATGCACTACACTACACTACACTACACTACACTACGATACGATAGAATACAATACAATAAAAAATTTAAAAATTAAAAATATATATATACATATTTTTGAGATGGAGTCTGGCTCTGTCGCCCAGGCTGGAGTGCAGTGGCCGGATCTCAGCTCACTGCAAGCTCCGCCTCCCGGGTTCAGGCCATTCTCCTGCCTCAGCCTCCCAAGTAGCTGTGACTACAGGTGCCCGCCACCTCGCCCGGCTAATTTTTTGTATTTTTTAGTAGAGACGGGGTTTCACCATGTTAGCCAGGATGATCTCGATCTCCGGACCTCGTGATCCGCCCGTCTCGGCCTCCCAAAATGCTGGGACTAAAGGCTTGAGCCATCGAGCCCGGCGAAAAATTAAAAGATATTAAAAAAATAAATAAATGAAATGAAATAATAAAATAAAATATAAAATAAAATAAAATAAAATACTAAATATAACACATAGGCTGGGCCTGGAGGCTCACACCTGTAATCCCAGCACTTTGGCGACAGAGCAAGACTCCGTCAATGGAATGGAATGGAGTGGAATGGAGAACGGAATGGAATGGAGAACGGAATGGAATGGAGAATGGAATGGAATGGAGAACGGAACGGAATGGAATGGAATGGAATGGAGAACGGAATGGAATGGAGAACGGAATGGAGAATGGAATGGAATGGAATGGAGAACGGAATGGAATGGAGAACTGAATGGAATGGAATGGAATGCAAAATGGAATCGAGAATGGAATGGAATGGAGAACAGAATGGAATGGGGAACGGAATGGAATGGAGAATGGAATGGAATGGAGAATGGAATGGAACGGAATGGAATGGAGAATGGAATGGAATGGAGAACCGAATGGAATGGAGAATGGAATGGAATGGAGAACAGAATAGAATGGAGTGGAGAATGGAATGGAATGGAATGGAATGAGAATGGAATGGAATGGAGAACCTAGTGGAATGAGAATGGAATGGAATGGAGAACAGAATAGAATGGAGAGTGGAATAGAGAATGGAATGGAATGGAGAATGGAATGGAATGGAGAATGGAATGGAGAACGGAATGGAATGGATTTGGAATGGAATGGAATTTAGGAATGGAAATGGAGAATGAATGGAACAGAACAGAAATGGAGAATGGAATGGAATGGAGAACTGAATGGAATGGAGAATGGAATGGAATGGAGAATGGAATGAATGAGAATGGAATGGAATAGAATGGAAAATGAGAATGGAATGGAATGGAGAATCGAATGGAATGGAGAATGGAATGAATAGAATGGAATGGAATGGAGAACAGAATAGAATGGAGAATGGAATAGAGAATGGAATGGAATGGAGAATGGAATGGAGAATGGAATGGAATGGAGGAATGGAATGGAGGAAGTCAGAATGGAGAATGGAATGGAGAATGGAATGGAACGGATGGAATGGAAGTGGAATGGAATGGAATGGAGAATGAGAATGGAATGGAGAATGGAATAGAGAATGGAATGGAATGGAGAATGGAATGGAACGGAATGGAATGGAACAGAAAGGAATGGAGAATGGAATGGAATGGAGAATGGAATGGAGAACGGAATGGAACGGAGAATGGAATGGAATGGAGAACGGAATGGAATGGAGAATGGAATGGAATGGAATGGAGACTGGAATGGAATGGAGAACGGAATCGAATGGAGAATGGAATGGAATGGAATTGTATGGAATGGAGAGTGGAAAGGAGAACGGAATGGAATGGAGAATGGAATGAAATGGAGAATGGAATGTAATGGAGAATGGAATGGAGAACGGAATGGAGAACGGAATGGAATGGAGAATGGAATGTAATGGAGAACGGAATGGAATGGAATGGAATGGAGAGTGGAATGGAATGGAGAATGGAATGCAGAATGGAGAAGGGAATGGAATGGAGAATGGAATAGAGAATGGAATGGAATGGAGATTGGAATGGAGGACAGAAATAAAAAACGATAGACCGCATACGGTCTGAAAATTTTTGTTCTTTTTTTTGAGACAGAGTCTCGCTCTGTCGCCCAGGCTGGAGTGTAGTGGTGCGATCTCGGCTCACTGCAAGCTCCGCCTCCTGGGTTCAAGAGATTCACCTGCCTCAGCCTCCCGAGTAGCTGGGATTACAGGCGCCCGCCACCACACCTGGCTAATTTTTGTATTTTTAGTAGAGACGGGGTTTCACCGTGTTAGCCAGGATGGTCTCGATCTCCTGACCTCGTGATCCACCTGCCTTGGCCTCCCAAAGTGCTGGGATGACAGGTGCGAGCCACTGAGCTCGGTCTTTTTTCTTTTTCTTTCTTTTCTTTTTTTTAATGCTCCGTGCGTTCTGTGGCGTTATCAGAGATTTTTTTGCCTGTTCCAAGGCCCCAGAGTGCAACTTCCCAAAAATCAGGGATGTCCACGGCGGGGGTGGTGGGGGGAACGGGTGACAGTTTACCTTTTGGATCCGAAGCTGATAGCGAAATTTGCGATTGAAATGACTTCTCATTTCCCAGTGCATGAAGGAATGTGTCTCATTACACTCTCCAGTCATGTTGGGTGGAGTTAATGTCTCTAGCAACGAGAAAAACAGTTTTAGGAGTAAAAGAAATCAAATCTTTTTTTTTTCTAGAGATACTTCACACAGGACTGAGCCGTGCTGGGGGCGCTGGGGGAAGTGACCCTCCTTAGGATTTGCATCCTGGGAACCCCACTCTCCCGGGAGCAGCCTTCAGAACCACCCTTTTGTTCACTTCAGTATCAGGTATTCAGCTTTTCTGAGGACTGGCAGGTGCACGTCTTTGTCCCTGCCCCCTCCATCTCTGGGCTCAGCCCCGCTGGGCAGCCTGGCCCACTCCCCACCCCTTGAGGGCTCTCTCCGCAGCCTTCAGGATGGGCCCTCCGGAGACTCCTGCACTTTTGACCTGTACACATCCTTCTGGAGCTGCCACTTCCCAGCTTCTCTCCTCCCCCCACCCCCACCTCAGCCCCCTGAGGGGATGTCCCGCCACTCCCAGCGGCCCAGGGCATCCTCCATGTCCAGGGAACCCCAGGCGCTTCCACATTCTCAGGCCATTGCAGCCCTGTGTCTCCGGCTGTCTGTCTGGGTCTCCCCTGGGCCCCTGGAAGCAAGTCCAGCCCTGGCCCCCGCCTCCTTCTCCCCCTCCTCCTGCCCTCCTGTTCTTTCTCCCCTTCCCTACCCTCCTCCCCCCCGCCACTCCTCCTCTTCCTCTCCCTCCTTTTTCTACCCCTTCTCTCTCTCCTCCCCATTCTCCTTGTCACCCTCCTCTTCCCCTCTCCTTTCTCCTCCTCCTCCTTTTTCTTCCTCCTCTCTTCCTGCTCCTTCTTCCTTCTGCCCCCCTCCTCCTTTTTCCTCCCCCTCCTGCTCCCCTTCCTCCATCCTCTCCCCTCCTTCTCCCTCCTCCTCTCTTCTCTTCTCCCCCTCCACCCTCCTTGCCCTCCTTTTCCACCCTCTCCTCCTCCTCCCCTGCCCATTCTCCTCCTCCTTCTCCTCCTTTTTCTTCCTCCTCTCCTCCTGCTCCTTCTTCCTTCTGCCCCTCCTCTTCCTTTATCCTCCCCCTCCTGCTCCCCTTCCTCCATCCTCTCCCCTCCTTCTCCCTCCTCCTCTCTTCCCTTCTCCCCGCTCCACCCTCCTCGCCCTCCTTTTCCACCCTCTCCTCCTCCCCTGCCCATTCTCCTCCTCCTTCTCCTCTTCTTCTCCTCCCACTCCTTCTGCCCCCCTCCTCATCCCTCCCCCTGCTGCTCTCCTTCCTCCACCCTCTCCCCTTCTTCTCCCTCCTCCTCTCTTCCCTCCTCTACCTCCACCCTCCTCCCCCTCCTTTTCCTCCCTCTCCTCCTCCTCTCCTTTCTCCTCCTACCCCTCCTTCTCCCTCCTCCGCTCACCACTCTTTCTCTTCCTCCCCCTCCTACTCCTCTCCATTCTCCTTCCTCTCTCCTTCTCCCTCCTCTTCCTCCTCCTCCTTTCTGCCTCTTGTTTTTCTTCTCCTCCTCCTCCTTCCCTCCCCATCTCCACCTCCTCCCCACCCCGTTCCCTCCGTTTTCTTCTCTTGCTCCTCCCCCTCCTTTTCCTCTGTTTCCTCTTTTCCTTCTTTTCCTCCTCCCCCTGGTCGTGTTCTTCCTCTCCTCCCTTCTCTTCTCCTTGTCCTCTTCCTCTTCCTCATTTCCCCCTCCTCTTCCAAAGCATCCAAGCACCCTCCCCGTGGGGTCAGGGCATGTCAGCTCTGGGCGTATCGACATTCTTACCACCTGGGAGGTTCCCCGGAGCTCAGATGTGGACTGAAAGTTTGTGTCCTCCTGTCCCAAATTCCTATGTTGAAGCCCTGAGCCCTGGTTGGACGGTGTTAGAAGGTAGGGTCTTTGGGAGGTGACTGGGGTGGGCTGAAGTTATGAGGGTGGACCCCTGTGATGGGGGGGGGTCCCATGACCCATGATGGGACTCATGATGGGGGCTCCCATGAACCATGGTTGCGGGGGGTCCCATGACCCATGATAGGACCCATAAGGGATCCTATGACCCATGATGGAACCCATGATGGATGATCCTATGACCCATGGTGGAACCCATGATGAGGGATCCTCCTCTCTCTCTCTCCCCATTCTCCTTTGCCACAAATTCTCTCCTCTTCCTCTCTCCTTTCCTCCTCCTCCCCCTGCCCATTCTCCTCCTCCCTCCTCCTTTCTTCCTCCTCTCTTCCTGCTCCTTCTTCTTCCTTCTGCCCCCTCCCTCCCTTTTCCTCCCCCTCTCCCTGCCTCTTCTCCATCCTCTCCTCCTTCTCCCTCCTCTCTCTTTCTCCTCCACCCTCCTTGCCCTCCTCTTTTCCACCCTCCCTCCTCTCCTCCTCCTCCCCTGCCCATTCTCCCTCCTCCTTCTCCTCCCCTTTTCTTCCTCCCTCTCCTCCTGCCTCTCTTCTCTCTGCCCCTCCTCTTCCCTTTTTATCCTCCCTCCTGCTCCCTTCCTCCATCCTCTCTCCTCCTTCTCCTCTCCTCTTCCCCTTCTCCCCGCCTCCACCCTCCTCGCCTCCTTTTCCACCCTCTCCTCTCCTGCCCATTCTCCTCCTCCTTCTCCCCTTCTTTTCCTCCTACTCCTTCTTGCCTCCTCTCATCCCTCCCCTGCCTCCTCTTCTCCACCCCTCTCCCCTTCTCCTCCTCCCTCCTCTCTCTTCCTCCTCTACCACCCTCCTCCCCTCCTCCTTTCCCTCCCTCTCCTCCTCCTCTCTCTCCCTTTCTCTCTCCTACCTCCTCTCTTTCCCCTCCCTCCTCCGCCCGCTCACTCTTTCTCTTCCTCCCTCCTACTCCTCTCCATTCTCCTCTTCCTCCTTCTTCTCCCTCCTCCTCTTTCCTCTCCTCCCTGCCTCTTGCTTTTTCTTCTTTCTCCTCCTCCTCTCTCTTCCCCATCTCCACCTCCTCCCCACCCCGTTCCCTCCGTTTTCTTGCTCCTCCTCTCCTCTTTTCCTCTGCTTCCTCTTTTCCTTTCTTTTTCTCTCCTCCCCTGGTCGTGTTCTTCCTCTCCTCCTTCTCTTCTCCTTTGTCCTCTTCCTCTTCCCCCTATTTCTCCTTTCTTCAAAGCATCCAAGCACCCTCCCCGTGGGGCCAGGTGTCGCCCTAAGGCGTATCGACACTTTTTTCTTAGCCACCTGGAAGCTCCCGAGCTCAGATGTGGACTGGAAAGTTTGTGTCCTCCTGTCCTAAAATTCCTATGTTGAAGCTCTGAGCCCGGTTGGACGGGTGTGGGTTAGAAGGTAGGGCCTGGGAGGTGACTGGGGTGGGCTGGAAGTTGGTGAGGGTGGACTCCTGTGGTGGGGGGTCCCATGACCCAAGGATGGGACTATGATGGGGCTCCATGAACCATGGCTGCGGGGGGTCCCAAGGACCCATGATAGGACCCATAAGGGATCTCTGAAGTGACCCAGCGATGGAACCCATGACAGGATGATCCTATGACCCATGGTGGGAACCCATGATGAGGGATCTCAGACCCATGATGGAACTCATGATGGATGATCCTATGACCCAAGGATGGAACCCATGATGGAGTGGATCTCATGACCCAGGATGGAACCCATGATGAGGGATCCTATGACCCATGGTGGAACCCATGATGGATGATCCTATGACCTATGATGGAACCCATGATGGATGATCTCATGACCCATGATGGAACCCATGATGGAGATTCAAGTGACCCATGATGGAACTCTATGATGGATGATCTCATGACTCCAGGATGGAACCTGCGATGGACGATCCTATGACTTCCATGATGGAAACCCATGATGATGATCCTATGACCCGGGTGATGGAACCTGATATGATGAGGAACGTATGACCAGGATGGAACTCCATGATGGATGATCCTATGACCCAGGATGGAACCCATGATGGATGATCCTATGACCCATGATGGAACCCATGAGGATGATTCATATCTTAAGCAGAACTCCATGATGGAGGATCCCATGACCCATGGTAGGAACTCATGATGGATGATCTCTAAGACTCATGGTAAAACCCATGATGAGATCCATGACCATGATGGAACCACATGATGATCTCATGACCTATGATGGAACCTATGATGGAGATGCGTGATCTAAGACCCATGATGGAACCCATGATGGATGATCCTATGACCATATGATGGAACCCATGATGGATGATCCTATGACCATGATGGAACCCATGATGAGGGATCCTAAGGACCCATGATGGAATCCAAGGATGGATCCATGATGGATGATCCTATGACCCATAATGGGACCTGTGACAGGGGATCCTATGACCCATGATGGGACCTGTGACAGGGGATCCTATGACCCATGATGGGGGATTCTATGACTCATGATGGAACCCATGATGGGGGGTCCCATGACCCAAGATGGGGGGTCCCATGACCCATGATGGGGGCTCCCATGACCCATGATGGAGGGTCCCATGACCCATGATGGGGGGGGTCCCATGACCCATGATGGAACCGTGATGAGGGATCCCATGACTCATGGTGGGACCCGTGACGGGGGATCCTATGACCCATGATGGGACTCATGATAGGGGATTCTATGACCCATGCTGGGAGGGGTCCTGTGACCCATGGTGGAACCCATGATGAGGGATCACACAACTCAGGGTGAAACCCATGATCAGGGGTCCCATAACTCTTGGTGGGACCCATGACGGAAGCTCCTGTGACCCGTGATGGGACCCATGATGGTGTCAGTGTCCTTCTAACAAGAGACCCCAGAACTTCATCTCTCTCTCTCTCTACCATATGAAGACATAGTGAGAAGATGACCCTCTCCAAGCCAGGAAGAGACCTCCCTAGGAGCCCAGCCGGCCAGCGCCCTGACCTCCAACGTCCAGCCTCTGGAAACGCGAGAGGCCAGTGTCAATGTGTGGGGCCACCCGGTCCGTGGGATGTGGCCTGAGGCTAAAACCGTGGCCTCACAGAGCTGAGGGTGGGAGGGAATGTCGTGGGCTACTCACCAATCTCTGAAAAGAAGACAAACTTATCTGTGCAGGGGATACTGAAGGCTGCGCTCCTGCCCCTCACCAGGATATGGGAACTTTGAGAACCGCGGGAGAGTCGAGCGATGTCCTCGAACCGACACCCGATCTGTGTTCCCCGAGCATCCGTTTTGTAGTGAAGACACCTGTGCTGTTCGTGGCTGCTGTGGTAAGCGGTAAGGTTGTGGGGCGACCGTGCCCCGAAGGCCCCTGCACCGGGGACAGCCCGACCTGCCCAAGGGCACACCTACTTGGGATTGTTCAAGTACAGGTCGTACTGGACGTCAGCGGGAGCCGCTGGGCCTGCCGCCCAGCTGCAGCTCAAGAAATCCACATCATGAACCCAGCAGGTCAGATTTTCCGCACCGGCCCGAGGCATCCCAGCTGGGTTCACAAACATAAAAGAAAACTCGAATCGGGACCAGGTATGGGGGCTCACACCTGTCACCCCAGCACTTTGGGAGGCCGAGGCAGGTGGATCACCTGAGGTCAGGAGTTCGAGACCAGCCTGGCCAACATGAAGAAACCCTGTCTCTACTAAAAATACAAATATTAGCTGGACGCGGTGGCTCATGCCTGTCATCCCAGCACTTTAGGAGGCCGAGGCAGTTGGATTACCTGAGGTCAGGAGTTTGAGACCAGCCTGGCCAACATGGTGAAACCCTATCTCTAATAAAAAAATTAAAAAATTAACCAGGTGTGATGTTGGGCACCTGTCATCCCAGCTACTAGGGAGGCTGAGGCAGGAGAATTTCTTGAACCCGGGAGGCAGAGGTTGCAAGAAGCCGAGATCGCATCAGTGCACTCCAGCCTGGGCAACAGAGGGAGACTCTGTCTCAAAAAAATAAATAAATAAAATTCTAATCGCTTTTTAGAGTGCGTTTCGTATTTTGAGACCATGGAGGATCCACAAGCAGTTGTAAAAAAATAATAATAATACAGAGAGATCCTAGATATTCTTTTATTTATTCATTTTTATACAGAGTCTCACTCTGTCGACCAGGCTGGAGTGCAGTGGCGTGGTCTCAGCTCACTGCAACCTCTGCCTCCCGGGTTCAAGCGATTCTCCTGCCTCAGCCTCCCGAGTAGCTGGAATTACAGGCATCTGCCACCACACCCAGCTAATTTTGTATATTTAGTAGAGACAGGGTTTCACCATGTTGGCCAGGCTGGTCTCGAACTCCCGACCCCAGGTTATCCCACCGCCTCGGCCTCCCAGAGTGCTGGGATGACAGGCATGAGCCACTGCACCTGGCTAATTTTGTATTTTTAGTAGAGACGGGGTTTCACCATGTTGGTCAGGCTGGTCTTGAACTCCCGACCTCAGGTGATCCACCTGCCTCGGCCGCCCACAGTGGAGTTTTACAGTGGGTTTTACAGCCAAACCCACTTCTCTGCAGCTCTCGCTCCTGCTTATATCCCTGCAAACCAGGAGACTGTTTTCTATTTATAAAATGTTGCCATTTCAAGACAGTTGTATAAATGAAATCTCTGTGTGTCATGCTCTGGCGTGCTCTTTTTTCCAGTTCAGCATAACTCCCTGGAAATCTATTAAACTTAAAAATAATTAACTCGAGGCCAGGCACAGTCGTTCTCGCCTATAATCCCAGCACTTTGGGAGGCCGAGGTGGGTGGAGTCACCTGAGGTTGGGAGTTCGAGACCAGCCTGGCCAACATGGTGAAACCCCGTCTCTACTAAAAATAGAAAAATTAGCCGCGTGTGGTGGCAGGTGCCTGTAATCCCAGCTACTTGGGAGGCTGAGGTGGGAGGATCACTTGAGCCTAGGAGTTTGAGACCAGCTTAGGTAACATAGCAATACCCCATCTCTATTTAAGGCGGGGCGCGGTGGCTCACCCCTGTACTCCCAGCACTTTGGGAGGATGAGGCAGGCAGATCACGAGGTCAGGAGTTTGAGACCAGCCTGACCAACAAGGGGAAACTCCGCCTCTACTGAAAATACAAAATTAGCCAGATGTGGTGGCTCATGCCTGTCATCCCAGCTACTCAGGAGGCTAAGGCAGGAGAATCACTTGAACACGGGAGGCGGAGAAAGAGAAAGACAGAGGGAAAGAGAAAGAGCAAGAGAGAGAAGGAGAAGGAGAAGGAGAAGGAAGGGAGGGAGGGAGGGAGGGGAAAGGAAAAGAAAGGAAAGGAAAGGAAAGGAAGAAGGAAAGGAAGGAAGGAAGGGAAGGAAGGAAGGAAAGGAAGGAAGGAAGGGAAGGGAAGAGAAGGAAGGAAAGGAAGGAAGAAAGGGAAGGGAAGAGAAGGAAGGGAAGGAAGGAAGGAAGGGAAGGAAAGGAAGGAAGGGAAGGAAGCAAGGAAGGAAGGAGAGGAGAGAAGGAAAGAAGGGAGTGAGGCAGGGAGGGAGAGAAAGAGAAGGAAGGAAGGAAGAAGGAATGGAGAGAAAGGAAGGAAGAAGGAAGGAAAGAAATAAAAGAAAAGAGAATAAAAGGAAGGAAAGAGAAGAGAAGGAAAGAAGGGAGTGAGGCAGGGAGGGAAAGAAAGAGAAAGAAGGAAGGAAGGAAGGCAGACAAGACACAGGGAGGGAAGGAGGGAAGGAGGGAGAGAGGGAGGGAACAGACAGAAAGAACAGACACACAATGAACATTTTTCTCACTGTTCTCAGGGAAGAGGATCCACGTGGAGAACGGGGGACTGGCCACTCGGACGGTGTAGTTGGTCACTTCACATAAGGAAATGGCTCCGAACTGGCAATAGCTGCTGTTCATTGCCTGAGAGAGACACACGGGAATGTGATGGCTGCGGAGAGACCATGCTGAATTTGATGCTAAGGATGTTCGGATGTTTCCTGAGGTCGAATTTCGCTCTTGTCGCCCAGGCTGGAGTGCAGTGGCGTGATCTCGGCCCACCGCAGCCTCTCCCTCCCAGGTTCAAGCCATTCTCCTGCTTCAACCTCCCGAGTACCTGGGATGACAGGTGCCCGCCACCACGCCCGGCTAATTTTTAAAGTATATTTTTGGGTAGACAACAGGGTTTCACCATGTTGGTCAGGCTGGTCTCGAACCCCTGACCTCAGGTGATCCGCCCGCCTCGGCCTCCCAAAGTGCTGGGATGACACGCGCGAGCCACCGTGCCCGGCGTGCGGTTTGGTTTTCCACCAGTCCTAGGTTAGCCTCGTTTCATTTTCACGTCCACCCTGTCCGGTGTGTGCCACCTTAGACATCCCACGGATGGGGAACCAGAGTCTCCAAACTCACTTCAAATCCCACAGCTGGCTTCGGGCCGGAAGCCAGGCACTTACGACAGCAGCGACGGGAGCAGTACTGGTTCTCAGATTCCTGCGGGAGACGGAAACGTCTCGTTTGTCAACCGTACAGAATAGGATTTACCGGCATAGAATAGTCGGTGCCTTTGATACACTCCACGCCGGTCACGTTTCTGTTCAGGTCCCACATCAACTGCTGAGCCTTTTCTTTCATCCTTAGATTTCTGATTGGTGGATTTGGATCTAAAATGGTGACAGGTTGGAGTTAGAAGAGATACACACAAATCTTTTTTTTTTGGAGACCGAGTCTCGCTCTGTCGCCCAGGCTGGAGTGCGGTGGTGCGATCTCGGGTCACTGCAAACTCCACCTCCCGGGTTCAGGCGATTCCCCTGCCTTAGCCTCCCGAGTAGCTGGGATAACAGGTGCACGCCACCACGCCCGGCTAATTTTTTGTATTTTTAGTAGAGATAGCATTTCACGGTGTTAACCAGGATGGTCTCGATCTTTTGACCTTGTGATCTGCCCGCCTTGGCCTCTCAAAGTGCTGGGATGACAGGCGTGAGCCACCGCGCCCAGCTGATAGACAACAATCTTAAAACGACACTGTAATGGGGTATGGTTCTTTGTTTGTTTGTTTGTTTGTTTGTTTGGAGAGGGAGTTTTGCTCTGTCGCCCGGGCTGGAGTGCAATGGTCCCATCTCGACTCACTGCAACCTCCACCTCCCGGGTTCGGGCGATTCTCCTGCCTCAGCCTTCCGAGTAGCTGGGATAACAGGTGCCTGCGACCACACTCGGCTAATTTTTGTATTTTTACTAGAGATGGGGTTTCACCCTGTTCACCAGGATGGTCTCAATCTCCTGACCTCGTGATCTGCCTGCCTTGGCCTCAAGACAATCTTAAAACAGCATTGTAACGTATATATTTTGTTTGTTTGTTTGTTTTTGAGATAGAGTTTTGCTCTGTCACCCAGGCTGGACTGAAGTGGCATAATCTTGGTTCACTGCAGCCTCCGCCCTCCTGGGTTCAAGTGATTCTCCTGCCTCAGCCTCCCGAGTAGCTGGGATAACAGGTGCCCGACACCACAGCTCAGCTAATTTTTGTATTTTTACTAGACATGAGGTTTCACCCGGTTAGCCAGGATGATCTCAATCTCCTGACCTTGTGATCCATCCACCTCGGCCTCTCTAAGTGCTGGGATTACAGGCGTACACCACCACAGCCAGCCAGTACACAACAATCTTAAAACAGCATTATAATGGGTACGTTTTGATTGTCTGTCTGTTGTGAGACGGAGTCTCACTCTGTCGCCCAGGCTGGAGTGCAGTGGCACGATCTCGGCTCACTGTAACCTCCTGTGCCTCCCGGATTCAAGCGATTCTACTGTGTCAGCCTCCCAAGTAGCTAACAGGTGCCCACCACCACACCTGGCTAATTTTTGTATTTTTACTAGAGATGGGGCTTCACGATGTTGGCCAGGCTGGTCTCGAACTCCCGACCTCACGTGATCCGCCTGCCTCAGCCTCCCAAAGTGCTGGGATGACAGGCATGAGCTACCGAGCCTGACTGAGAAGTGGAGTTCTATGTAGGCAGGAGACTTGTGTGAGCTGGTAGAAGTCATAAACCGGGCCGGGCGCGGTGGCTCACACCTGTAATCCCAGCACTTTGGGAGGCCGAGGCGGGCGGATCACCAGGTCAGGAGATCGAGACCATCCTGGCTAACACGGTGAAACCCCATCTCTACTAAAAATGCAAAAACTAGCCAGGCGAGGTGGCGGGCGCCTGTCGTCCCAGCTACTCAGGAGGCTGAGGCAGGAGAACGGCGCGAACCCGGGAGGCAGAGCTTGCAGTGAGCCGAGATCA